AATAAAGTCCATTAGTTGGGTCTGGTCCTATAACATGATGTCCTCTTTTAATGCTCCTACCATACTCATTAGACAGACTTGTCTAAAAAAATTAAAATAATAATTAGCAACACTCACAAATCTACCAAAAACAAAGTCATTTTAATTCATTATTATTATAGTACTTTAACAGGTGATCCGATTGATGTATTAATGGTCCTCTCTCCTCCATTTAGATCAGATATAGTAGGAGCAGTCCCTGAACTATTATCACTGACTGATGAAGACAGTGACACGTCTGACGACCACTTCTTACTCTTCCTTTTACCAGAGCACTCCTCCTTCAGAGCAGCTGCCTGACTTATAAGCACATGAGCCTTTTTAATCTCTGCCTCGACCTTATCCAGCTCCGATAAAAGTGAGCCACACCCAGCATCTCTTAGCCCCTCCCTCAACTCCTCCTTGTGCTCCTTATAATGGATACGCTCAGAGCCCTCAAGCCCGACCTTCTCTTTAATGCCCTGTAGCTTGACTTGTGGTAGGCTCTCTGCAACGACCCTCTCCATCACTCCTTCACACTCTTCAATATATTGCATTAGTTTAGACTCGTACGAGACTAGATCGACCCCCGAGGGGTTGACGAGGGTGATGTTCCCTTTTCCTGATATGTGGGCGGTTGAGAGTAGCCCCTCATATACTTTCCCGTGGACTTTCTTGTCCAGTATGGGGACGTGTTTTGGGTTGTGGGGGACGGCTGTGGGTCCGAGGGCGTCCATTAGGAGGAGGTTGCGACGAGAGAGACTGTTCTTTTTTATCCATTTTGAAAGAGAGACGAAATTATCACTTGTGGACCTTGAATAAATGAATAAATAAATAAATAAAATAAATAATAATAACATTTGATGTAATATTGTAACTTACAATCTTTTTGGTTTCTTCCTCCTTGGGATAGGATAAGTATATCTGTGGCCTGAAATAAAAATAAAATATTTGTTAACTTAATATATATTTTTATAATAATAACTATTGCTACTCTTGCTATTATCATAACTATCCAGATACATTATTATTCCTTTACTACCAGGATGCTTTAATCTGTTGCAAGCTTCCCTCAGCTGCTGTGCTTGGGTCAACTGATCATGGGCGTGGCTAATCTCGTCGCTTAGCAACTGAAGGTCATCGCTCTGGTGGGTTACTGGACCCTTGGGATCAGTAATATCCTCAGAATAATAGTGATATCTGGAAAATAATTAAATTAAAAATATAAGAAATTGTTTATTTATTTTAGCTTGTCAAAAAATGAATGCTACTATTACTACAGCATAATTTAACGCTACTAATTATTATTATTATTATTATTATTATTATTATTATTATTATTATTATTATTATTATTATTATTATTAGTATAATAATATAATATTGATAGTTGGTAATTACGATGATTTCCTTTTACCTTCCTCCAGTGACTGATGCTAGTCTAAATAAGAACTGGTTGGCTTTGCTGTCAGCACAGTTGAATGATATGGAGTGGATGGGAATACGCCTCAGCTGCTGTATCTGGGACAAAATTAGATCTGGTGACTGGTCAGGCCTATTTGAAATGACAACAACAATAATAATAACAACAACAACAACAACAACAACAACAACAATAATAATAATAATAATAAATACATTAGTAATTCTATCAATTGTCACACTAAAATGAACATTTTATGCCTTTTTTCTCATTCCATTTTCATCATCATCCTAAATTGCTATGGGCAAGTGTA